AACAATTGCTCGACATCAGCAAGCAGCCGGCACTCGAGCACCGCCTCCAGTCCTGCTAAATGAGGATGATCCGACAGTCCTCAGACAGTATATCACGGGAATGCAGGACAGACAGCGGGACGCATTTCCCTTCAGGGATAATCTCATTGCGCAGTTTTTTCATCATTCAGAGTGAATTGTCAGATCAGCAGAGAGAAAGACTGACCAGTGCCATGTCACTGAGAAACATGTCACTCGAGCACTACTCCTATGAGATGCTGAAGACGCATTACCATGAACTCTTCATCACGACCAGGACATCCATCCAAGATCCCTCCATCCGACCTCAAGGAGGCAACCGAAGCAACACATTCTTCATCCTCGAACAAGGTGAATACGAAGGAGAAGAAGGCTTTTGGGTTGAAGATGAAGAAGGACTTGAATCATTGAAGGATTCATGTCAATCAACGATGAAGAGACATTCTGGGTCCTCGATGAGAACGATGCGTTCATAGCAAGAAAAGTGTCAGGGCGGAATTTCAGATTCAAAAAGAGAAAAGGAAAAGGAAAAGCAGGAAGCAAAAAGGGCAGTCACCAAGGAGGTGGCTTTAAACCCTTCAGAAAAAGCGGTTCTGGCGGGAAGGCCAATATGGCCAATGAAAACTATGATCCCTACGACCAGGCATATTGGGGAAAAGGAAAGAAGGGAAAGAAAGGAAAATCCAAATTCCAATCCCTATGATGGAAACAAAGGTTATCCATCCTATGAGAATGGCAAAGGAAAAGGCGGACATGACAAAGGAAAATTCAAAACATTCGCAGCCATCGCAGAGAAGCCGGAGGAGCATCCTGCCACGCAGCAAGTTGCTGAACTCCAAGAGCCTGCCTATGCCGGTTGGACAGACCAAGATTGGGATCAATCATGGACATGGAACGAACAAGGCTGGTACTCATCCCATGAGACATCCAGCACAGGACAAGCACTAATGGCATTCCATGACGCATATGAGCAGCATGAGAAAGAAGCCATCCACGGGAAGCTGATCCAATCCGATACAGTTTCAGAACACAATTTGTCCGTAACAACAGATCACAGCCTTTTGGCAACAAAGCTGATGGCGCCTGTCATCAACCCGCAGCACAATCCGACCTATGCGATCTTGGACAACGGATGTACCAGATCCATGGGCAGCTGGCATGCAATCCAGCGTTTTACTCAGGCCATCGGACCCATGAAGGACCTCATCTCCTCTCAGTACATCCCGGCCGAGACCAAGTTCACTTTTGCAAACGGAGAAACAGCCAAGGTAAATTGGACCTTGCATCTCCGATATCACACAACTCCTCCATGCAGTACCAACATCGACGTCCTTGAACAAGGAACTGTACCGATCCTCCTCAGCATCAGTCAGATGCGGAACCTCTACACACATGCAAGGCGTTTGGCATGAACCGTCAAGCAGTTCCAGTATCCGGTACAGGACATGCACTCGTCGACCTCGCTGGAGTTGCAAGAGTGAAAGCGCATGGAGAAATTGCCATCAAGGGCCTCACCAACTACGTCTACGATGATGACAACAGCATCAAGTTTTCCTCCGGGGATATCTCCAAGAGTGAAACTGTTTGTGCATCCAAATCATCCGAGACGAAGGAGGACCTAGCAACTCCTAAAATCATTGGGTCTCAAAAGCAGGACCATTGGATCCTTGATAAGAAGAACAAGCAGCTCATCCGTGTGCACATCACGCCTCGCAAGGCGCTGTTCACGCGAAATGGAGCCAAGGAATGTCCAATCAATCCTGATAACATCAGCCGAGAGCGTACCACGGAAATCATAGATGCATCCGAAGGTGGAGATCCAGACATCCTAGAAGACAATTGGAGACTTACATCCCAGGCAAACAAACCAATGATTAA